GAACGCGTCTATCACTAAGCTGCTGATCACTGGGGCCTGCGCGAGCACATGCTCAGCGTCGCCCAGTATGATGAAAGCTCCGTCGTCGAAAAAGCTGATGTCCAAGGCTGCGGAGGTGGCATTCGCATCTCCCTCCACTAGCTTTGACAGTGATGACCCCACCTTCGTAGGGACTCGGAGATCCACTCCATTAGCCACAATATCCTTGACTGCATGATTGACGCATTCCGCCATGACATAGTTGTAGATAACATCCCCCAACTGTTGTCCTGGGATCGAACCCAACATCGGAAACGCAATTTTTGTGGCCCCCGCGTAGTAGAACCATGCCCCATGGTACGATGTAGCAGTAAGTGCCCGTATGTGCTGCGATATGCCCGATCTTTCCAGTGCGTTGTCTTGTGTGTGAATTTTTTCCTAGATATTATGCATTGCACTCGGTGGTAGTTTGGCTGCTAGTAGTATGCTTGCCAACTCGTCGTATGTGAGACTGGAGTCCATGACCAGTTGTCTCACCGCCTTATAAAAAGCTTGCACTGCGTCTACCATGAGGAAGACTGCTGATTGTTTCTTTCCTGCTGCAATGTTCTGGAAGCTGCGTAGCGCAAGGGCGGCGAGATCCACCCCTCTTCCCGATATACCCCCATATTGAGTATCTCCTGCGGCACGTGGCAAAGCCAATACAATAGGTGCGCGTAATAGCATGCGATAACGTTTTCCCAAGTGGGGGGATACCATCACAGATCTCGAATGCGTTGGAATAGAAGGGTCAGCCGCACCCTTCCAAATATCCCAATAGCATCCTCCCCTCCACTGTATGGGTTCTTCGAGACGTAGACATGCCTTAACCACCACTGGGTGGTACAGAGCTCCTAAAGCTGCTCCACAGTGCCTGACCAAGCCGCCAGGCATGCCATCCAGGCTGGCAGCAGAAGGGCGCGCTGCACAACACGCCGTCTGGTACTCATGGAGAGCAGGGAGAAAGGCCTCCTTGGATGGTATGTTGCGAGTCAATGAGGAGGGAAGCGGCCTGAAACTGGAAAGCGCGTGCTGAGCGTGATCGATAGGCACCACTGCGCTGATCTCTTCATGAGCAAAATGTTCCAACCAAATGTTGGCTGCCTCTGTAGTTGTTTGAGCTGGCGCTCCTGTCACGTCTCGGACGATCGGTGCTGGACATGTGCTCCTCTTTTTTCTGGAGCAAGCGCCTAGGCCACGTAGTTTTCTGAAGACCTTGTCATGTTGGTGTACCGACCATTCCGACTTGATCTCCTGGGCGAGCTGTATGTAGTGTAGTTTGGCATCCCTGCGCGTGCAAATACGTATTTGATATGCAGTGTGCGCCACCAGAAGGTCTCTGATGGCATGAGACGCTCCTCTGAGTAACTGTATAGTATGCATGGCCACCGTTGGAAGATCCCTACGTGATACTGTAGCGGGCAGAACCTCGCGGTCCGTCGAAAATAAAACCAAGCACACCTGAGGGTAGTGATGGGAGGGCTGCCACTTAGAGGTCCTTTTTGTTTGGTCCATGTGGGGATGTACGTCACTCATCTCGTCCCCCCTGTTGGCCAGTAGGGCCATGTTGTCCGAGATGCATGTAAGTAGCTGTTGTTGTACCTGGCCCACAGCTCGGCAGAGCTTTGTAATGGACCGAAACACTCCACGAATGTGTAGTGGGGGGCCCCTCGGCGGGTATAGGATAGCGTCAGCTCTTTCGTACTTGATGTTGTCAATTGCCATTGCCCATGCAAATACGCATACTGCAAGCGTGGCAGACTGCGCAAGTCTCCCGTTGCGCCTAGCCTGTCGCAACGCATCTGTTCGAAAATCCATGGCCTGAAGCGTATGCTTCGATATCCATGTCTTGCGTGGCTGTCGTCCACGCTGTGTACGGCGTATGGGAAATGCCTCCTGCATCGCCTGTCGCACATAGTTGTCATAGTAGTAAACTTGATCGTTGGCGTGGACATCGAAGGGCATGGGCGGACACTGCGCCAGCAGCTGTGTAAAGTGCGCCCTAGATTGAGGGTCCCTGTACAGTGCAGAATCATGTGCAACCTTGTACCCTGCTCCGTGCTGTGCTTTCCCGTTCATACAGTCATGTCCAATGAAATGTACCTGCGCACACACCGCACGGTGGTCTTCATGAGAGACCGTAAGATCAATGCGGTCGTCCACCCCCTGGGAAGACACCCATGCTGATTCCGAAACTGCAATGTAGTCGAGTCGATGCCCTTGACTTCCTGGGGACGGGGAAGTCCAGGTAGACGCCGTGGGTGAGAAGGCGGGCAAAAAGGTAGACGGCAGCCACAGATCTGTGGCCTGCAAAAAGTCGTGAAAGCATTCCCCTGCTTCATTCTGGCACTCTGCATCGACAGCTCCGACAGCCTGCGAATTTACTGAGCCCACTCTGGCATTCGCATCAAGGCATGTGAGTAGTATCTTGGAATCACCTTTGAGCGTCCTGACCAATCTCGTCGTGGTGCTCCACCACTGTGCTAGGCTGTGCGGGGTACGGTTTTTACCTTCCCCTGGCCCGTGAGCAACCAGCACATTGCACTGCATGCGCGGCGCACGGATCGCAACGAGTAACCTAGTCGGCTCCTGATGTAAAACACGACACATGTGTGGTTGTAGGCGACAGCCTGGTATGTAATCAATGCTGGTGTTGATCCATAGTGCACATCCCTCTGTACCAGATGGCGTAGCTGGGGAAAAAAGCACAAAATAGGATCCAACACGTGCCGACTTCGAGATAGGCATTCGAGTCTCAGTAGTGCCAACCAGTAGGTAGTCGCATCTCCCAAACTGGGTGCCCAACTGTTGAAACCTACCCGTTGGAGGTCCCTGGTAATTTCCCAGACCGTTTATACCAGCCCGTTTGTATTCTTGAGGGTCCATAGTAAGGACATTAGCAGCAGCAATCCAGAGAGAAACCTGGGTGTCCTCGATGGGGAGGGGCTCCGGTGGGGGAGGGAGGCACTCCTGGAGCTTGACTTGTGGCATCTTGGCGGGAGTCACGGGATTGCCGAAAGGCGGTGGATATGCAGCACGTTCTTCAACTGTCGCGACTGCGAGCCAAGCCCAACGTATGCCCGACATGTGCCATGGCAAATCCAGTGCTGTGCGCCAATTGCACGGTGGTGAATGAGAAAACGCATGATATGACGCTACGCGTGCGGCCGAATCCACTAACTCGTTCCAAGGATGGTTGGAGTGGCCTGGTACATGTGTCCACTCATATTTGTGCAGCACCCTCTCCAGTATCTGAAGCATGCCGTCCAAGATGGTTTTGGAATCTTTCAGGGCTCCCTTGGTGCCTCCTAGTTGGGCCACTCTAATGACATCCATGTTGTCACTGTGAATATGAACCTGTGTATTATGGAAAACATGCGTTGACAGAAGCCACTTACATGCCCATATCGCTGCTTCGAACTCCGCGTATGTTGATAGCAACTCCCTGGGTACAACCTGCGCAATATCAGGTAGGCTTCCAGCCTGAAACCCAAGAAGCCACTGTCCGTGGTCGTCGGAGGCAAGGGCACAGAACGCCCATGCTGGAGGGGTAGGAGAAGAGGAACCATGTAGTTTAAGTCCCCCTGCAGATCCATCTGTGTAAATGTCGAGATGGGTGGGGAAACGTTGTTGACCAGTGTCGGTAACCTTGGGACCCAATTCAGCCAGACCCCTAATCGTGGCTGAGTGCCAAAACTGGGCATACTGCAACGGGTCGTCGCAAAGCCCAAGCCCCATAGAGTCCCAAGGTTGGCACAGGAGGTGAAACGTGTCTGAAAAGTCGGGAAGAGGACTATCTTGGATACCGATCACCCCCTCAGTATCCATCCCATGTGTCGGAGACTGCGTTACTTGACGAGTCTCCTCTCCGGTGCCCTCCACGGCGGCATCCGTGGTGCCGACTAGCGAAAAACTTGGGCACCCTCCGTGGGAGCCCTGTCCACGTCGCTGTCGACGTCGATGGTGTCCTCGTCGTGGGCGGCGGTGTTGACGCGCACCCCCTTCGTGAAGGCCACGGCGAGGCGGGACCTGTCCTTGTCCTTGTCGATTTTGTGCTTGACGCCAGGCGTGCCTCCTTTGCCTTTGTCGCTAGCCGCCCTCCGAGTCGCCGTTCCTCCCTTGGCGGGTGGCGCTGCATGTTCTTGTTGGGCATGGGCAGCTTCGACCTCCGCGATGACCGTCTCCTCCGCGGCGGTGACCACGCTGGTCGGCTCTGGCGACACTGGCTCAGTGCCAGGCGTCAGCGTGCCTCCTACGGGAGTCGCTGGGGCCGCCGTCGCCTGTGGGGCTGCAGCTCCTGCTGGCACTTGGCCTGCGTGTGCTGTGTTGAGCAGCCCAGCCTGCGCCATGCACTGCTGCATCACTGCCATCTGTGCCGACAACGTTGTGAGCGTATCCAGCATGGTGCGGTTGTTGGCCTGCATGGCTGCTAGTGCTGCTGGTGTGGCACCGTCGTGAGTCACCGATGGTGCTGTCCTCTTGGCTGGCGGGCGAACTGCAGGAGAGCGCCTTGACATGCGGTCTCCTGCCTCTGGCTCGTCCTCCATCTCCTCGTCATCCGTGTGCATCTCGTCATGCATCTTGGCCTGGGCGGCGAGCTCATCGAAGTGCTTCGCGAGGAGCTCCGCTTGATTGACGTCCTCTTGTACCTGAATTGCCTGCAACTGGCATTCCTTGAGGTACTCCGCTGCTTCTGATTCAACTTTTTTGGCCTCATCCAATCTCTTTTTGGCGCGATCAAGGTACATAGCCTGGAGGAGAGGAGGAGGAGGAGGAGGAGGAGGAGGAGGACGAGGAGGACGAGGAGGAGGAGGAGGAGGAGGAGGACAGGTCGCCTCAGCCCTTCGGAGACACCCTCCACCCTGGGGGGCGGGCGGGAACCTCGATGGAGTTTTCCGGCGAGGCCCGAGGAGGCCCGACGAGGACGAGGTCGTGCTCCCCGCGAAGGGAGGCGGGACGGGCGCTCGGGGCCGCCCGGGGGCCTTGTCCCGCTGCTTGTCGTCAACGAGCCCCTTTCCGCCCGCCGGAGCATCGCCGCCGAGGGACATGGTGGAATCCTCCGGCCGCAGGGCGCGGCGCCCCAGCCGGGGAGGGAGGGAGGCAAGGGGGAGGAGGAGAGGGAGGCCCTCCCTCTCCTCCTCCCTGTCCTCCTCCCTCCTCCCTCCATCCCTCCCTCTCCCTCCCTCCCTCCTCCTACCCCTCCTCCCACCCTCCCCTTTTCCCTCCCCCCCTCCATCTCCTCCTCCCTGCCCTCCTCCCTGGGAGGAGAGCAGGGAGGAGGAGATGGAGGAGGGGAGGGAAAGGGGAGGAAGGGAGGAGGGAGGAGAGGAGGGAGGAGGGCTCGGGGAGGCACGCTGGGCCCTGAACGCTCAGGAGGTGCTCTGCAGGGTTCACGCGGGGGTCCCAGGAGGCCCTGTTCGGGTCACAGACTGGCCATCGCTCGGACGTCCATTCCCTGTGCATGTTTCGGTTTCCTGCGTGGTTTTCTCGCCAAATCATCAAGGATGCTCCTCGATGGTCCTCGCCGAAGGAAATTATCCCGGCAAAGCAACCTAACAGCGATGTGTAGGAGCATATCTGGAAGCATTGCCCTTAAGATTCAGATGAGAATCCAGTTGTAGAATTCTGCTATTCTCGCAGTCGTAGTCGCATTCGCGATGACAGTCGCAGTGGCAACGGCAGTCGCAGTCACAGCCTCAGCCTCAGCCTGCCTCAGCCTCAGCCTCAGCCTGCCTCAGCCTCAGCCTGCCTCAGCCTCAGCCTCAGCCTCAGCCTCAGCCTCAGCCTCAGCCTCAGCCTCAGCCTCAGTCTGCCTTCAGCCTCGGCCTCAGCCTCAGCCTGCCTCAGCCTCAGCCTGCATCAGCCTCAGCCTCAGCCTCAGCCTGCCTCAGCATCAGCCTGCCTCAGCCTCAGCCTCAGCCTGCCTCAGCCTCAGCCTCAGCCTGCTTCAGCCTCAGCCTCAGTCTGCCTTCAGCGGCCTCAGCCTCAGCCTCAGCCTGCATCAGCCTCAGCCTCAGCCTCAGCCTGCCTCAGCTCAGCCTGCCTCAGCCTCAGCCTCAGCCTGCCTCAGCCTCAGCCTCAGTGCCTCAGCCTTCAGCCTCGGCCTCAGCCTCAGCCTGCCTCAGCCTCAGCCTGCATCAGCCTCAGCCTCAGCCTCAGCCTGCCTCAGCATCAGCCTGCCTCAGCCTCAGCCTCAGCCTGCCTCAGCCTCAGCCTCAGCCTGCTTCAGCCTCAGCCTCAGTCTGCCTTCAGCCTCGGCCTCAGCCTCAGCCTGCCTCAGCCTCAGCCTGCATCAGCCTCAGCCTCAGCCTCAGCCTGCCTCAGCATCAGCCTGCCTCAGCCTCAGCCTCAGCCTGCCTCAGCCTCAGCCTCAGCCTGCTTCAGCCTCAGCCTCAGTCTGCCTTCAGCCTCGGCCTCAGCCTCAGCCTGCCTCAGCCTCAGCCTGCATCAGCCTCAGCCTCAGCCTCAGCCTGCCTCAGCATCAGCCTGCCTCAGCCTCAGCCTCAGCCTGCCTCAGCCTCAGCCTCAGCCTGCTTCAGCCTCAGCCTCAGTCTGCCTTCAGCCTCGGCCTCAGCCTCAGCCTGCCTCAGCCTCAGCCTGCATCAGCCTCAGCCTCAGCCTCAGCCTGCCTCAGCATCAGCCTGCCTCAGCCTCAGCCTCAGCCTGCCTCAGCCTCAGCCTCAGCCTGCTTCAGCCTCAGCCTCAGTCTGCCTTCAGCCTCGGCCTCAGCCTCAGCCTGCCTCAGCCTCAGCCTGCATCAGCTCAGCCTCAGCCTCAGCCTGCCTCAGCATCAGCCTGCCTCAGCCTCAGCCTCAGCCTGCCTCAGCCTCAGCCTCAGCCTGCTTCAGCCTCAGCCTCAGTCTGCCTTCAGCCTCGGCCTCAGCCTCAGCCTGCCTCAGCCTCAGCCTGCCTCAGCCTCAGCATCAGCCTGCCTCAGCATTCAAAATGTGGCCCGGGAATGGAGTTCTGGGAACTCGAAGAACACGAAATGGCCTACAGTTGGCTCCGGGCATTCAAAATCATGCCCAGGAATGGAGTTCTGGGAACTCGAAGACCACGAAGTGGCCTACAGTTGGCTCCGGGCATTCAAAATCATGCCCAGGAGTGGAGTTCTGGAAACTCGAAGACCACGAAGTGGCCTACAGTTGGCTCCGGGCATTCAAAATCATGCCCAGGAATGGAGTTCTGGGAACTCGAAGAACACGACGTGGCCTACAGTTGGCCCCGGGCATTCCAAATCATGCCCAGGAATGGAGTTCTGGGAACTCGAAGACCACGAAGTGCGTTACTGTTGGCTAAAAAAAGAGTCCCCGGATTCCCGTCCGGATCCCGCCCAGACCCCCCTGGGGAGTCATGATGCTCTCTTTTGACCCTACTAGAAACCTATCAGTCTTCGCTGTTAGGTAAAATGCACACGTCCGAGCGATGCCAAGCAGAGGGGCCAGAGTCCATTGGACTCCGCGCTGCGCGTCGCTCACGATCTTGCCCGACCGCGCTGGCTTCTCGCGCCAGCCTCGCGTGGCCAGCCCTGCCCTGCTCAGATGCCACAGAACACGGCAGGCCCGTACGCGAAGGGGGGCCTGGCACTCGTTCGCCCAGCTGCCCTCCGTGCGAGAGGAGGAGGGCGGAGGACAGGGGGGAGCAGATGAGTGGGGCGAAGGGAGGGAGGGAGGGAGGGAGAGAGGGAGGGAGAGAGGAAGGGAGGGAGAGGCCCTGTGCGACATTCGTATGGGGGCCCCAGGAGGTTCTGCTCGGGTCTCAGAGGCCGAGGGTAGTAAAGGGGGCGGGATGCAGGGCAGAACTCGTTGGAACCACTGGCTGAGCACAGCGTCCCAGGGTGAGGGGTCCGTCCGAGGCCTCGGCGCGCCAACACAGCCTGAAGCTGCGCAGGGACCTTTCGCCTCAGGAAAGCATACAAACAAACAAAAAGGAGGGGAGGGAGGGAGGGAACAGAAATCTGGAGGGGTGGGAGACTGGAGAACGGGCAAACTGGAGGGAAGCAGCAGAAAAAAAGGAGAGAGGAAATGAAAAAGGCCCCCGTCCCTCCGCTCTCCCTCCGCCCTTCCTCCCTCCCCACCGGTACCCGCAATCTGCCTCCGAGCCACAATAGCCCCCGAAGTGAGCTCGAGGCCGTCTAAGCCTTCAGGCCCAGGCCGCATCGGAATATGTCAGGTCATCCTCTTTGGCAGGCTGTCAGGCTTCTGATCCGCAGAGGGTTCGCTTGGCACGCCGGCAAACATGTCGTGAAGATAGCGCATCGTGACCTGGAGAGCCTCGTGAAAGGCTCCGAGCCTCGGCTGTTGGCCACAAGAGGCCATGAGGCTGATCGACTTGCCGAGGCAGGCGCTGAGAGCTTGGCGCAGCCATCGGAGATAGGAAGGTGGCCTTCCAACGGTCGCACCACGCTATGAGCGCCTTCCTTGGGTGTGTGGTTAGCCAGGTGTTGGCCCCGTGGGCCCCCACCGGAGGAAGGTGTTGGAAGTGGATTGGGTCTCCGCCCGCCCCCTGAAGAGGAGGGAAGAGGGGAAGCCACTCGATCATGGAAGCAGGAAGGCGCTGAGAGTAGATTGGAATCTGGGAATCCAAAAATACCTACTTTCAACGACCCATGGGTAAGGATTCCCTTCAGAGAATCCGCCCCCCGTCGGCGGCACCGAGAGTGGGTGGGGCAGCTGCGCAGGAGGCTCGGAGGTGCTGGGAGCGGAGGTTCCAGTATACAGTCGGGGCCTTGACCTAAGGAACCCAAAATAAGGAACGAGGCCCCTGTTTTCCATGAGTTAAACTTCCATGTCCGATCGAAAACATACGGAAAACCTGAGGCCAGCTGCGAAACACTTAAGGAACGCGGAGCCCCTCCCCAACGAAAAGGGTTCCTTCTTCAGGGCCCCGACTGTATATGCCGAGCCCTGCGCTGCCGAGGCCTTCGCGTGCAGCTCTGCGGCCGGTCGGCCGCGATTACCCCTCCGAGGGGCACCCCGCCTCTTCGTCCTTGGCCCCCCCCCGCCCTCTCCGCCCCTCGAGTCCCCGCCCCCTGGAGGGAGGGCACCGACGGAGGCGGCTGCCAGACTCGCACCAGTTATGCGAGAGGCGCCTCGCTGGGCGTTGTTCATCGAGAGGCCCCGCCTGTCAGCCCTCCGTGCCCAGCCTGCATGCCCCTCAGGACTGGACTCGTTCAGAATCCCAGGAGCCAGATGCCGTACGCGGCAGACTATAGAATCGAGCGCGCTGGAGGACTTCTGAGGGGCGTTCCAAATGCGGGCAAATCATTGAGGATCAGCGAGCCAGTAGTGTTGCTAGAAGGCTGCAAAAAGGACTTCCTGTAGCGACCACATGAAGTCAACCTAGACGCGGTTGACGCGTCACCTGTACCCGAGCCACGCCAAAGGGCCTAGCAAGGTGTCATTTGAACCCCGTTTCTGCTTTCGTTGAGCGTTAGGCTCCAGAGAGTGGAAGCGCGACCTTGGGGAGAGAACCTTAGGAGGCAACTCCTGGGAGGTTTTCGTAACAACGATTTCGGGCTATTGATCCAAATCGAAGGACCGCTGAGGTGGATTGGGTCTAGGCCAGATGAAATTCTGAATTAAACCAGAGCAAGCAGGATCAAGCCAGAATAAGCCAGATAAAGCGGGATGCTGCCAGATAAGGCAGGCTCTTGACCACGGATACAACAGCGCCGTTGCTGATTTCAACCTCACAGGAGTTGCATCCCAAAGATCCTCATTTATGTCAGGTGTCGGTCCTGCCCCCTGCCTCCCCCTGACTCAGCCCATCCTCCCTCCCTCTCCATCCCAAACCGAAGTCGGTTCAATTTGGGGTCACAAAACCGTGCTGTGACAGATCGCGCGGTGACCTCGGAATGCCAAGGGACCTCACCGCGCGGTCCGTCACCGCACGGTCTTGGGACCCCGGAATCCCCGGTCGCCCGAGACGTCCTCAAGAACAACCCGAGTCCCAAAGCTGGGGATGCCAAAAGGCACCGATACCGCTTCTCCCCGGGCATCCCCTGGGTGCGTCCTGACCAGAATCTCGAGGCGATTCCAGCTGTGGCGACGAGGGCCCCCCGGGAGTCCCCAAAAAGGCAAAAAGGAGGCAAGCAGGGGGAGGATGCATCGACCCCCATCATACCCCAGTGATCGCCGATACGGGGCCCGATGGCCCACCCCGCCCGGGACCGTGCGGAGTCGCCTATCAGGGTCCTGTCGCCGATCTATCGGCGGTGTAGCGCCGATTCCTCCTTGAACGTTCCCCCCGCAGTGACCCCGCAGCCCCACCGGCTCGCCGCGCGGCGTGCTGTCACCACACCAGTCGAGAGGGCCCCCGAGCCGAGCGCCCCCCGTGCCCCGGGGTGCCGGCGCGCCCCCCGGGCGCGCTGCGCCAGGCCCCCCCCCAAGGAGCAGCTGCGGCATGACGCGAGCCAGAGCCATCCTCGGGCGGGTGTTCACGGGGGGTGACCCACGATGGTCGGGGAGACGCAAGACTCGGGTACCGGGGGACTCGGCTTGGCCTGACGGGGGCCATCGTAGAAATGACGAGACCCAGTCTGAAATCTGGCGCGGGCTCCCGCTGCAGACATCCCACGACAACGGGACCGTCAAAATCCAGGACGCGCTCGACAAAAAAAATCGGCAAACCCGAGTTCCGGATTTCTCGAATCCTACGTTTCCACGATATGGGCGTGAAGAAAAGGGCCCTCAAGGGACCCTTTGGGGCCGCCTGCGGCCCTCCTTCAGGGCCCTCGTCTTTACCCCCCGTTTGGGCCACCCCCCATTACCACCCGCTGGACAGCCCTGGGGGGGAAGGAACGCGCAGGCTTGGGCCTGCACCTTACGCTGCAGTCAGCACCGGCACAACAAGATCTCACGATGAGGGTGCAGGGGCCTTGGAGGGCCATGACGACTCTTTGCGGGCGAGGCGCGGCCAGCGAAAGCGGCCCAGGATGGGCCGACGGGGAAGGATGCAGGGGCAACCGCCCTGAAAAGTTGCTCATGCTTACTGTGCGGGCTGACTGTGTACATCACGCGACCCTTGCTCCCCCATCTCCCTCCTCTCGGCGGTGGACAAACCTCCCTTTAGTAGACCTCCCCTTAATGAAAACGGCCTGGGACCGAAACCGACGGACCTGGACCCGCAAAAATGACGGCCGCGACGCCCTCTCGCGAACCGACAACGGCCAATTCCTTGATCGACGTGTCAGGGCAGGAGGTCTGCCCACCCCCGATCCTCACACACACACACACACAGACGCACACTTTTGCGAGGTCGCGGCCCCGCGCGCGGCGAGGGGGCGGAGCAAGTCGAGCGGCCGGAGCGAGCGAGCGCGCGCGCGCGGTCGGGCCCCCAGGCGCGGGGCCACTCCGGATCGGCCGCGCAGATCACCCGGGCAGGGTGGGAGGCGAGAAGGCTGAGGGCCACACACACACACACACACACATGCCCTCGTCATCACCCCTCCTCATGCTCCTCCTCCCTCTCCTCGTCGTCCCACCCCCCCCTCCCTCCCTCCCTCCCTCCCCAGGCATGGGATGCCCTGATTTTTCAGTGCGCTGTCCCGAGAAATATCTCCCTTGCCCCCCACCCTCCCACCCTTGTTCACGGCGTGGCCGCCTGGAGCTCTCGACCCCCGCGTTGCGTCCTGGGTCGGTCTTCTCTGACGGCCCCGAGAGGCCCGGTCATGGTCCCGAGGGCCCGCCTCTGCCCAAAGCTTGGCGTGCATGCGTGCGTGCACGGCGCCAGCTAAGTGCGCATCATTTTGATGTCGATGCGTTTGCTCGAAGTGTTGGACCCCAACTGCGTGTTGTATTGTTTTGGCGTCGGTATGTATGCTGTGCTCTGTAATGCGCGAGTGGAGCGGCAGTGCACGGCCATCATCACTTTGTCAGGGCACGAGGTCTGCCCGCAAAAACATTCGGAGTCAGCCGTAACACAAGCAACCTTGGACCTCTGATAAGACCCAACATGTGATACCATGTCTCCCAGGCCTCCACATGTTGCGGATAGCTCTATCCATGCGGAAAGCTGAAACTCCTGGACATCCAAGTTCTCCAGAACAACATTGGCGCATCAACTCCGACCTCATCTGTTCACGACTTTGTGGTGCGGTAGCAGGTGCACTGATCGTTTTCAGAGCTCGGGTGGCCCAGCGCAGATCCAGCAAATCCGCGGAGAGCCAGCTACAAACGCCTATGTTTATGCCGTTTCTCTTTCTCGAGCATAGGGTTAGGCCGGGCATGTCCCCTTAGAGGCGGATTTTGGACGAAAAAATAAATGCCCCAAAAAATCTTCAAGATATTAGAAAAATCCGCCGACCCCTTGGGGTCATCGGCGTGTGAGATGCTTCCCCCCTCCCCAAACCCCTCCCCCCGGAGCCTGGTCCGGTCGTTTTGGAGGGGGGGGGGGGGGGGTCCGGCCGGATTCCCCGGGATCCGCCGGCGCGGTCCGGGGGGGGTCATCCGCTCCAGAGAGTCTGCTGGGGGGGCCGCAAACGAGCGAAGAGGCTCCCAAGAAGCTCTGCAGACGGTCCAAGAGGGCCCCGAGTCGCCGAAAAAACACTCGAAGACGGTCAAGATGGCCTCCAGATGGCCCCAGATGCCTCCAAGACGCCCCAAGAAGCTTCCAAGACGCCTCCCAAGATGGCCCCAAGAGGCCAAAATCGTCGATTTCCATTGGTTTTTTCAACGTTTTTGGCCTTCGCGTTTTTTCGGGCTTCCGACGCTCCAAGACGGCGAAAGAAGCCCCCAAGACGGCATCAAGACGACCCGAGAGGCTCCCAAGTGGGCCCCAACACGGCCCAAGAGCGCCTCAAAACGGCTCAAGAGGGCCTTCAGACAGTCCAAGAGGGCCCACAGAGGGGCCCAAGAAAGGCTCCAGACGGGGACCACGAACCTAAAATTCTAGCCTTCCGCCCCAAAAGGCGCCAAGGAGGCCCCAAGAGGCCTCCAAGAGGCTCCAAGAAGCCCCCAAGAGGCCCCCAACAAGCCCAAAAAAAGCCCCAAGCTGCCCCAAAACAGCTCCCCAGAAGCCTCCAAACTGCCTCCCGCAGGCCCCCGAGAGGATTCTCACGACGACGGCGCCAGAGGCTCCCACAACGGTCAACGAAGCCCCCAAGATGGCCCCAAAAAGGTGCCCAGCCTACGCCGTCGAGTCTGTCGCCGCCATTGTCGTCCTCGTCGTGTTCTCCTGCTCCTTCTCATCCTCCTCTTCCGCCCCCTCCTCCCGTCTCCCCTCTCAGCTTTCTGTCTCGTATTCCCTCCACTGGCTCACTTTTCACCTTCTCCGCCTTTGGCTGCTCCCCCATCCTCCCTCCTCCACGTCCCCCTTATCCATCCCGTCCCCAGCGGTCAGATTCCTCGCAACTTCCGTGCCTTGTCGCAATGCTCGTCACTTGGTTCCGCCGGGCGTTTCGGAGGGTCTCTCCGCGGCGCTCGTCCCGCTTCTACTACCCCCAGATTGGCATAAACAAGGGGTCGGCGGTGTGGCGTAAGCCTAAGAATAATAAGGAAATCGTCCCCAGACTATTTGTTCTACTATGGTGGTCGCAACCATCCCATCTGCGACGCAGGGCACGGTAGGGAGCGGGGGGCAGCTCAGGGGGTGCGGCATCGAGCGTGAATTGGCGATACCTCGCCGCTGAATCGGCGACAGGCCCCCGATGGCGAATCCCCACGCTCCTGAGCGGGGATGGGGCGGCATTCGGGTCATAACTCGGCTCCCCCGCGGCCGTTCGGGACGATCCGCGCACCCCCGGAACGCTCTCCGCGAGGCGCAACTGCTGGAGAGCTTCCTGGGGCTGGATAACCGCCGAGAACCGACGAAACGGCCAAAAACCTCGAACCTCAAACCCGAAAATCTTCCATGGGATCGCAGCCATCCCACCGTCGAGCCCTCGCCCCAAGGTCCTCCTTCTGGAGCCCCAGTCCCGCTGGGGGGGGGGGACATGGCAAAAGAAATCTGACATTAGATGATGTGGTACGTATTCTGCGGAGTGCTCCGAGATCTGTCACTTCCCGTGTGACTGAAATCACAGATGTTCCAACTTTGGCACCCTAAGCAAACATATGACACGCCACACCGGAAACAACAATCCGGAAATGAGCATCGTTTAACCGATCCCCATCCCCAGCGGCGTGGCCTGGGCCCCACTGGTCGTTTTACCCCCCTAGATGGGGATATGGGCCGTTCCCTTCGGGTTTCGAGGCGTGTATCCCCAAGTGGGGGGGTAATTTGGCGGGGATCTTGAAGGGGATGGGGATGGGGGTGGGGGTCGGTTAGACGATACTGAGGAAATAGACCTTCCTCTGCAAGCGAAAGGCGCACGACAGGTCCTGCTTCTGGAGGCCCGGCCCCGCCGGCGAGGCGTCCTCGCACGCGCGCGGGCGACGGCGCGGGCTGGGCCTCGTCGCCGCGACAGTCGCCGCATTCGTCGCCGCCGTCGCCGCCGTCTCTGCCGCCACCGTCGATGGCGTCGTTGTCGAACGCCTCCTCCTCCTCCTCCCTCCCTCCCTCCCTCCCTCCCCTCCCCACCCCTCCCCTCCCCTCCCCTCCCCTCCCCTCCCCTCCCTCCTCCTCCTCCTCCTCGCGCAACCACGGGGGCCTCTCGCGCGCGCATGTCGAGCGCCCTTGCGCGCGTGCGGGGGAGTGGGGGGGCACGACCCCTGTCAAAAATACCACGCGGGCCCCTCGCGCCCGTCGGCCAAGAAGCATGTCGAAATCGCCCCAATACATTCATCACCGACACGTGGACGCCATCATCGTCATCGACGTGATCACCATCGGCGCAGTCATTGACCGTGCCGTCGTCATTGTCACCATTGTCACCAGCATCGCTACTGTCATCATCGTGTCAGCGGTTGTCGACGTCGCCATGACACCGCGCCCGCCCGAGTCACCGACTCGCACGGAGGTGCCTGCGCGTCAGCGCGGCCTGCGAGAGGCGCTGGGAACTCCCCAATGTTCAGCGCCATCGCGCCGTGTCGGTCGCGCCACACTAGATGGCCGCTTTGCGAGCGAGCCTGCGCGGCCGCAGCGATGCGCCAGTCCGCGCCAAGCAGTCATCACAATCGCGCCAAGCAGTCATCACATCGCATTGATGTTGCAACCCAAGTTGCGGATGGGTGGGTGGGATGATTACGCGAGCAGTGGAGTTGCCAACTTCCAGTCCGGCACGGGGAATTGCACCATCTATATATATATATATATATTGCACCAAATGGATTGCAAGAAATCACTGTTTGGGGCCCACACTGGCTAACAATCCCTCTGCTCCTCTCTTCCTGTGTTAAACAAACAAACCATTCATCAGCCATCAATCCATCTCTCAGCATCATCATCATCATCATCATCATCATCATCATCATCATCATCATCATCATCATCATCATCATCATCATCATCATCATCATCATCATCATCATCATCATCATCATCATCATCATCATCATCATCATCATCATCGCTCCTCCAATTCCTCCTCCTCCTCCTTCTCCTCCTCCTCATCATCCTCCTCCTCGTCCTCTTCCTCCTCCTCCTCCTCTTCCTCCGCCTCCTCCTCATCATCATCATCATCCGCCTCCTCTTCCTCCTCCTCCTCCTCCTCAGCATCATCATCAGCATCATCACCGTCATCATCAGCATCATCATCGTCAGCATCAGCATCAGCATCCTAATCAGCATCATCATCATCATCATCATCATCATCATCATCATCATCATCATCATCATCATCAACATCATCATCATCAGCAGCACCAGCATCAGCATCATCATCATGATCATCATCCTCATCAGCATCAGCATCACCATCATCATCATCAGCATCATCACCAACATCATCATCATCATCACCACCACCATCATCATCATCATCATCGTCATCATCATCATTATCATCATCATCATCATCATCATCATCATCATCATCATCATCATCATCATCATCATCATCAGCATCATCGCCACCATCACCACCACCATCATCATCAGCATCATCACCATCATGTTCAGCATGATAATCAGCATCATCATCATAAGCATCAGCATCAGCATCATAATCAGCATCATCACCAACATCATCATCACCAACACCACCATCATCATCATCATCGTCATCAGCAGCATCATCATCATGATCATCATCATCACCACCATCATCATCATCATCATCATCAGCATCATCATCATCATCATCATCATCATCATCATCATCATGATCAGCAGCAGCATCATCATCATCCCTCCTCCTCCTCCTCCTCCTTCTACTCCTCCTCTCCTCCTCCTCCTCCGACTCCTCCTCCTCCTCCTCCTCCGACTCCTGCTCCTCCTCCTCCTCACTCTTCTTCTTCTTCTCCTCCTCCTCCTCCTCCTCCTCCTCCTCCTCCTCCTCCTCCTCCTTCTCTTTCTCCTCCTCATTCCTTCTGTCGAACGAAGGCGACGACGAAAACGACGAAGACGACGACGACGACGACGGCGACGACAACGACGACGACGACGACAACGATGACGACAGGCGACCGGCGGCGCGTCCTTGTCCGCGGCGGATTCGCCGGGACCTGGCGCCTGCGCCGCGGGGTCGCCCCCAGCCTGCGCCCTCCGGGGGCTGGCCTGTGGGGAGCGCCAGCGGGGGGGGACGCGGGGCGGGGGAAGGAGAGGTCAGGAGGCACTTTCCGCGAGGGTTTCGCCAGAACGATGCGAGGCGCTTTCTTACGCCTGATCGAGGGAGCACTGAACGTGGAGCAGGCCAGATTCGCCCCAGGATTTGGCCGGGCTGGCCTGGGGGGCGCCAGAGGGAATGGGGGGAAGCGGGCCCGGGGAAGGAGAGGTTAGGAGGCACTTTCTGGAAGGGTTTCGCTAGAACGATGAGAGACTCTTCTTACGCCTGATCGAGGGAGCTCTGAACGTGGAGTAGGCCGGATTCGCCCCAAGATTTGGCCGGGTTAAACGGGATCACGCGGGACTAAAACGCATCATAGGCGGGACTAAAGCAGGTTTGGTCGGTGTCTGACCCGGGATGTACCATCGCCATCGCCGATTCGGGATTAAACTTGCCAGGATTTGCAGAAGGAGGGAGGCGAGGAGGGGAAGGGGCGAGGAGGGTGTGAGGAGGGGAGGAGGGAGAGGGAGAGTGGAGGAGGGAGGAGGAGGAAGGAGGGAGGAGGGGTGGTGGAGTGAGGCGGAAGGAGGAGGGGGAGGGGGGGAGGGAGGAGGAATGAGGAGAGTCGACTTCGGTTTCGGTGTTGGTTCGGCCAGTTTTCGCTAGCGCTGTCACCGTGGACGGCCTTGGAAGGGGGGCATGAACCTGCTGCATGCAGCATCACTCAGCGAGCATTCAATGGATGGATCACACTCCCTAAGGTTCGCTTGAATCCATGCCCCGTCTGTCCACCCCTGGCAGAGGCCTCCTAGGTCCCAGATGGGGTTCGAGCAGATGGAGTCAGAGGATCGCGCCACATCGGCGACGTCGGCGAGGCATCGGCGCCATCGGCGTGAAGAAAATCGGGCTCCACATCGAGCCGCATCGCCGATGCATCGGCGATGCGGCGCGACCCTCCGACCCCATCTAGGATGAGGGGCAACGGGGGGAACTGGCATAGGGGGGTGCATCGACCTCGAATCGGTGATACATCGCCGATAGATCGGCGATGGGCCTCCGATAGTGAATCCGCACCCTCCTGGGCAGGTTGGGGCTATCGGGTCCCTATCGGCGATCAATGGGCGATTGGGGGTCGATGTATCCCCCATGCCTATCCCCCCCTATCGTTGCCCCCGATAGGAGGTGGGGGGTTGGCCGCGCCGCGTTTTCACGCTTGTCAGCCCCCAGTTTATTAATGAGAAGTTCGGCCCAAAAGTGGACAAAAAAAATACTCCGAAAATCGTCCACCAGACTATGACTAGTTTTGAATTTTCCCCCTGTAGAGGGACAGGCCCGACTGTAAGGCTAAAGCAAATGGGAACATCAGAGGGTCGGGCGGCGGAGGCGGCCCGCATGGGCAAAGGCAGCGAAGCGGCCCCGGGGGGGCGCCCCGCGGGAGCCCCCAAAGGTATTGGACGCATCGGACGAAGCCCGCTCCGCCCCTCGGCGCTCGCCTTAGGTCGGGCGTGTCCCCCTGCAGGCGGATATATTTGACGGAAAAATCCAAAATGGTCCAACAAAAATCGGCAATGGATTCCTCCTGTAGAGGGACGTGCCCGACTTGACGCCTGCCTCGTCTTACCTCGCCCTATAGCCAGTCGTCATAACCCTGAGATCCGCGGCTGCGGTGAGACTGCAACAGCGCGAACAGTCACGGCCAAAGCCACAGGCCCCACCGCAGGAGCACGACCACAAGAAACCTTCCACCAGCAGCCCAATCCTGAGACCCCAGGACATCCACTGACTCTTGGTGCGGGGACGTTACGCTCTCCATAGCCAAAGCATCGGAACCCGAGACACCAAGGGCAACCCGCAGGCAAGCAGGGCGCTTCTTGGCATGGGTTCCCATAGCATCGTGCCGCGATGCCGTGCGAGCCGCACCGATCCGCGAGGACCCCCAGGGCCCGACACGGCACGAGCAGGGCCGCTGCGAGAGCAGCGCAGCGCGCCATGCTTTCTCCGGGCACGGCCCGCGGAGGCCATGCAGAGCACGTCGGGTGCCGCCAGGAGTGCCCCCCTGGCCCAAGGCGCCGCCAGGACGACGACGACGAAAACGACGACGACGACGACGACGACAACGACGACGACGACGAAAACGACGACGACGACGAAAACGACGACGACGACGACGACGACGACGACGACGACGACGACGACGACGACGGCTGGCCGGCCCCAGGCGCCGCCAGGGCTGCCGATGGAGGCACCCGCCGCCTCCAGCACGACTAGAGGTGTCGGCCGAGGCCCCGCGCGGGGCCTCCGAGGAGCCCGAGGTGGGGCGAGCGAGAAGCCGGGGGCACGCGTGAGGCCAGGGGCCCACCAGCAGCAGCCCCTCAGCCGCCGCTTCTGAGCGCTGGCCCGGCCGTCTTGCGCGTCGCTGTGTAGCTAATTAGGCTGGCCCGTGCCCCGGACCCCCTCTCGGCGACAGCTTCACGCGTCTGCCCGCGACCAAAAAAAGTGAGGCCAGGGGCACCATTTGCCGGCGGCGCGCCCAAGGGGGGGAGGAGGGTGGAGCAGATGGGGCCCTTTGCCAACGGCGCGCCCTCTGCCAACGGCGCGCCCCGGGGGGGCGAACAAAAAGCCGGGGGCACGCGTGAGGCCAGGGGCACCCTTTGCCGGCGGCGCGCCCAAGGGGGGGGGAGGGTTGAGCAGAGACCGACCGTCCTGGCATTGCTATAGGCCTACCACGACATGTTCTCAGAACCCAGGTATGTTCTACGGACAAAAACGATGCTCTTAGAACGTAGACCCGATGTGTTAAAAAACAAGACAGTCCAGCCAGAAATGTTCCAAGAACATGTCGTGCAGACAACAGAAGGTTCTTAGAACATTGATTGGCAGGCCTATAGGCACGCCAGGACGCTTCGCCACTGCTTGAGAGGGGGGAGGGCTCCTCGGAAGCAGGCTGCTCCGCAGAAGGCGCCCATCTTGCACATCTGCAGGTGAGGCCCGCGCCTGCTGAGGAGCAGCCCCCTTGTGAGAAGCATTGACCCCTCCCCCATCACACCCCTCCAGGAGAGCCCAGAATCGAATCGACAAGTCGGATCGGCGATCGACATGAACCGGCGGAAAGCGGCAGCCAAGTCGGGATGAGTCGAATCGGCGGCATCGGCAGGCGAGGAAGGCCTCCATTGAGAAGCCCAGACCCGGATCGTGATCCCCAGGTCGACTCGGAGCGGAATCGGAGGCCATTCAAGTCGAAACGACTCGAATCGGAGGAATCGAAGCGAGCCCTGCCCCCCTGCGCGTGGCCGACCCTCGGCACGGGCACCGACGACACCCCGCCGCCGGGGGCTTCTCTTGAGCGGCGCCGCTGGGCCGAGGGCCCTCGCAGCACCGCCCAAGACCCCCGGCCGCGGGGCCGAGAGGGGGCGACGCGGGCCGTCGCTGGCGATCCGGCCCCAGGCCTACGACGACGACCACGACCACGACGACGACGACGACGACGACGACGACGACGACGACGACGACGACGACGACGACGGCGACGACGACGACGACGACGACGACAACGACGACGACGACGACGACGACGACGACGACGACGACGACGACTGGCCGGCCTCGGGCTCCTGGCTGGCGCCCTCAGTGCCCAGGCTGAGCGTCGACGAGGCTCTCCTGCGCCCCGCGCGGCCCTCGAGGCGGCAGCTGCTGGCGGCAGAGGGCCACCCCCCCCCCTCGCGTCGCGGCACAACAATCGCGGCGGGCGGTGCGGATTGCGATCGTCGGCCTCGGGGGGGGGGGGCCCGCTGGGCCCCAGGGCCGTCCGGGCAACGAGTCGGCCTCCAAGGCCGGTGCCAGGGAAGGGAGCGAGGACCTCCGGGGGTCCAGGCTGCGAGGCTGGCCCGACGCGCAGGGGGGGTCCCGGGAGAGCCTCCAGGGAAGCCCCCGCGGAGCTCCTTCGGGAAGGCTCCCGGCAAGCAGCCTCCGAGGCCTCCATGACCAAGGCCGGGCTCAACGGCGATGCTGCTTGAGGGTGGTGTTGGAAACCAGCTTGTAGGAAGTAGCGAACCACACTTTCCTGCATGTCCACTCTGCGAAGGGATCGAGGGAACACGACACAGCGACTTGCAGGAAAGCGCGAGCCACGCGTTCCCACAATGCCGAAATCCGCATTGCCGTTACCTACATCGCCGTGAGCCCGTCTGCGGCAGGAGGCCCCCAAGAGGCCCTGCAGCACCGCGGGGGAGAAGCGGGGGCCGAAGCGACGGCAGCCACGCGCGGGCGGCGCGGGGGGGGGGAGCGGCACACACGGCGCACGCGCCATCGGAGAGGCCGCACACCGCCTCCTCGGGAGGTCGGAGGCAGCGGCGCGGACCTCGTGCACGGGAAGGGGACCACAGTTAGGGGGCCACGTGCGAACCCCACCCTCCCCCTCAGAAATCGTGAGGGTAGGGGTAGGGTTCGCACGTGGCCCCCGAACATTATGTAGGGTTCGCACGTGGCCCCCAAAAAATACGAAAAAAATAGTCCCCAGACTATTTTTGAACTACTTTTTGCATTTTTTGAATATTTTTTCCCCTAAACCCTAACAGCCCCCGAGCAGCTCGGAGGTCCGCCACGGCTGCCTCGGGGCAGGCGCGCTGGGCCGAACCCTGGCAGTACGTACCCTCGGGCGCTTCGCCCATTTGGCCCCCTGCGCGCGCCCGGGCGGCGGGACCGGCGCCCGGCCAGGGAATCCGCAGGGACCTCCGAGAGAGGTCAGAGTTCTGTGTGTACAGGGCAAATTATAATACATTGGATTTTTTATATATTGGATTTTAACGCATCATGAATTAACTAATAAATCAATGCATGAATTCATCGTTGACAAGGATACTAGATTCCTTTATTATTAATACATGATCCGCACGCGGAGCATGTACTAAAAACGGCACTGTAGACGTTTCGCTCCCCTCAGAAGGCATGCGCGGGAAGGAGGCAAGATTGCCCAGCGGCACAGGCGTCGCCAAAAAAATCGCGACGGTCGAGTGTCCCCCGAGAGTGCTGCCTCTGGAAGCCGTTTTCCAGCCACGGGGCAGTCACAAAAAAGCAACTCAGGGTGAAACACCCGCCCTGGGAAAAGGGTCGAGACTTCTGGGGGTCACGCACGGAAAAGTCAAAACATCTGATCTCTGAGCTCGGGGAAGCCATTCAGGAATGCAGGTTCCTCGATCACGGGCAGTCCAGCGCCGATGCCGATGCTAGATGTAACCTTCCAGGAGATACAACCCGGCTGCCTTCCCTGGGATCACGGCTCGGCGGAAGGCTACGTGTTTGCTATACCATGGACACCTAGTTGTTCATCGGCCTTGAGCGGTCTTCGGCGGGCTTCGTCATCTTCGAAGGTCTTCGGAGGTTTTCGGCAATTTCTGGCGGTGCCCGGGCGGCTTCTAGTGGTCTTCGGAGCGAAAGCTGTGTGGCTGCATTGAACAAAGGGGTCCATGATCGAATACCTCGCTGCGGTAAAGAAAAAAGCATGACCAAGACTCAACGCGGAAACGCTGGTGTCAATCTTAATCGTCGTCCACCTTTGCCATCGTCGACTCGTGGATCATCCTCCTGAAGCGGCGACGGTCAACATGAGTCATGACCAAGACCAGCGTCGACAAGATCCGGTGACTCGGGTCGGGCGAAAGGGGGGGATAGCAAAGGGGGGGTTCAGAATCAGCTCACGTAGCTGATTTTCCCGGCGCCTCCCAGCGCCGGGAGGCGCCCATGTATCGAGGAATGGGCCCGGCGGCGGGGCCGAAACCAGCTGCATGCAGCAAATCCCACCAGCCCTTTGGGCGTGAGTGGTTTGGAGAGCCCTCTCTGTTCTCAACCCCCCTTCTTCCCCTTCGGGGAGGGGTTTACCCCTCCCCCCACCCCCTCCCCCTGGACCTGGAGAGGGGGTTCCGCGGGTCGTTGGAGGGGTCTTTTTCGACTCCTGGGAGGGCTAAAAAACGACACCCCTCACGAGGATTCTGGCCCCGACGGGGGGCCGGAGAAAAAATCCTCTCCTCTTCTGTGAAGCCAAAATCATCGATTTTACTACGGTTTTGGCCCCATTTGGCCCTTCTGAGGGGGCAGTGCTCCTGAAAGCTCATAGCAAAATCATGGATTTTACGAAGGTTTTGGGCTCATTTTGTTCTTCTCAGGGGGCAGCGCTCATTTGCGCTTCTGAGGAGGTCGCAAGAGGCCCCAAGATGGCCCCAAGAGGCCCCCAGGAGGCTCCCAAGAGGCCTCCAAGAGACCCCCAAGAGGCCCCCAAGAGGCCCCCAAGAGGCCCCCAAGAGGCCCCCGAGAGGCCCCCAAGAGGCCCCAAGAGGCCCCAAGAGGCCCCCAAGAGGCCCCCAAGAGGCCCCCAAGAGGCCCCCAAGAGGCCCCAAGAGGCTCCAAGAGGCCCCCAAGAGGCCCCACGAGGAGCCCGAACGACTCACACCAGGACGAGGGGCCCGAACGACTCACACCACGAAGAGCCCGAACGACTCACACCACAAGGAGGGGCCCGAACGACTCACACCAGGACGAGGCGCCCGAACGACTCACACCACGAGGAGCCCGAACGACTCACACCACGACGCGGGCCCCGAACGACTCACACCACGAGGAGCCCGAACGAGTCACACCAGGAGGAGGGGCCCGAACGACTCACACCAGGATGAGGGGCCCGAACAACTCACACCACGAGAAGCCCGAACGACTCACACCAGGACGAAGAGCCCGAACGACTCACACCACGAAGAGCCCGAACGACTCACACCAGGAAGAAGGGCCCGAACGACTCACACCAGGACGAGAAACCCCAAACGACTCAAATCACGAGGAGCGCTTTCTCTCCCTCCTCCTCCGCCTCGTCCTTCTCCCGCTCCCCCCACAAGGAGGATGTACAAGGAGGCGGGAGGAAGGAGGAACAGGGGAGATCTGCGGGGCCAAGCGGACACACGCCTGAAAAACACGACTGTCGGCATGCTTCGCGAGAGTGGCTGCTGTGAGATGGGCTGGTGGGGATACGCGAAGCGTAAAGAATTTCGTAACCCCCTTTCCCAATCCCCCCCGTTCGTCCGGCCCGAGTGACATCCTGGTCATGGTAAGAGGGCCTATTCCGTGAGACGCGCACATAATATACTACGGCATGCGCGGGCCGCCGCCCGAAACATGTACACAATGTGCTGGACGCCTCGCGCTCGCGAAGCTGCCCCGAAGACTGCCCCCTGCACTGTGCGTGGTGGCAGCTGCAAGCTTGGAGACGGCCGGGGGTCTGAGCTGGAGAAGCCCGGAGGAAGTCGGTCGAGAGAGGGAGGGGCGCAGGCAAGTTCGCTCAGAATCGATCCCCGAATCCCTCCGGGCTCGAAGCTGACGAGTTTTTCGCGACGCGTCCAGCCATGCGACGAGGGGGCCCATTGCTCCTCCCATTCTGGCTGAAAACCAGAGCTGGCCCACCTCAGCCCCCTAGCCGGCTCCAACCTAGCGACGACAAGAAACGGGCCATACGCGAGATGGCACAGCGACCCTACGCGGTGGCTGACGCGGGCCGCTAGCTCGACACGCCACGTTGGAAACAAGGGCGTTTACGCGCGACCTGTCGCGGGAAATTTACGCAGGGACGACGCCGGAATCGACCCCGTCGTTCTGCGTCGCTCATTTGCGAACATGGCTGTACGGCCATGCTCCTGTCGGTAAAGACTTCGGGCTGCGCACAAGGAGCCCCTGTAGGTGCTCCCTCGCCGCCGCGGCTCGAACAGCGTGTCAGCTTCGACCCCAGGAGAGGTCTGGGGACCAGTGTTGAACGATGATCCTCCCCTCTCGACAGGGTTTCCCTTGGCTGGTCCAGCTCAGACCCACAAGCCGCTCCCAAGCGATGGCAGGCCAGAGACGCCCCAAACTGGAAGAGAGCGGGCCAGGCGTTCTCTATATAACCACCGAGGGGCACGACAGTGTGTGGGCCCCCGCGGGGGGACGCGACTGTTGTGCAAAAGCTGGACCCCCGAGTAGGGCCACCACGAGCGCGGAAGAGGACCGAGGTTCGAGTGGGACGCGCGAAGACATAGCAGTGCTATGCTTAGGTCGAGCACGTGTCCCCCTACAGGCGGATCTTGCACGACAAATTATAAATGCCCTAAATGAAATAAATGTATATATATATGTTTAACATTAAAAATCGTCCATGTACTATGTTGTGACTACTTTTGGAGATCCCTCCTGTAGAGGGACATGCCCGACTCAATGCTGCGCGCCTCCTCTGCTCCTCAGGAGGCGCACGTCCGGACCGAACCCCTGCAGCACAAACGTTCTCTCGAGCAGAGATCGTGGCCCCTGGCCAGCATGTCCGAAAAGCGCCCGCCGCCGAACAGATGTTCCTCCTCCTCCCCCTCCTGCTCCTCCTCCTCCTCCTCCTCCCCCTCCTCCTCCTCCTCCTCCTCCTCCTCAGCTCCCGCTCCTCCTCACATTGCTCAGCGCGCGCCGCCCCTGGGGGGTGGACGCACACCTGAGCGACGATCAAGAAAGGCGTGTTACGCGAGATGGCATAGCGACCTTACGCGGTGGCTTGCGCTGGCCGCCAGCGCGGCACGCTCTATTGGAGACGAGGGCGCTTACGCGCGAGCTTTTACGCGGGCAGCTCACGCGCCAATGTCGGCGCAGACGACCCCCTTTTCTTGCGTCGCTCAAGTACTCAGCATGTGTGGGCGATACCGATCGAGGGTCGAGGTTTGGGGATCGGCATCGAGGCTCGACGATCGCGCATCGCCGACGCATCGGCGATGCGGCTCGATGTGGACCCTGGTTTTCGCCACACTCACGTCACCGATGCATGGCCGATGCATCGCCAATGCGTCGGAGGATCGAAGCGACGAGACCCGGAGACCTCGGCACTGAGTCGACCCCGGGCCTCCGACATCCTGGATGGAGGATCGAGACTTCGAGGATCGAGGTCTCCAAGCTCGAGGTCGATTGTACGCGTTTGGGCTTTTGCCAACCCCTCCTGTGTGCTGGGTCCCTCGTTTTGAATCCGCAGCGCCGCGCGTCACCTCCTTCCCGTCTTCCCCGCTCATTCCTCCTCCTTCTCCTCCTCCTCCTCCTCCTCCTCCTCCCCCTCCTCCTCCTTACCCCTCACACGTTTCCTGCCCCCCAGGGAGCACCCACTGGGGCCCCAGTAGGTGCATCCGCACGGCGTCCCCGCGCTCATTTCGGCACACCCCTCACGCGCTTCCTGCCCCGCAGGGAGCTCCACCCATGGTCCCAGGTGCGTCCTCATGGCGTCCCCACGCCCATTTCGGCACTCCCCTCACGCGGCTCCTACCCCCCTGGGAGCTCCACCGGGGTCCCCAGTGGGTGCGCATGGCGTCCCCGCGCTCATTTCGTCATACCCCTCGAACGTGTCCTGTCCCTCAGGAAGATCCGCCTGGGGCCCCAAAGGGTGGGTCCGCATGGCGTCCCAGCACTCATGCTGGCACACCCCTCACACATTCCCTGCCCCCCAAGGCGCTCCACCTGGAGCCCCAGTGGGTGCGCCATGCGTCCCAGGGCCCGTTTCGACACACCCCTCACACGTTTCCTGCCCCCCAGGGAGCTCCACCTGGGGCCCCAATGGGTGCATGCGTCCGCATGGCGTCCCGCGCCCCTGTCGGAACACCTCTCACACGTTTCCGGCATCCCAGGAAGCTCCATCTATGGTCCCAGTGGGTGCGTCCGCATGGCGTCCCCGCGCCCGTCTCGGCACACCTCTCACACGGTTCGTGCCCCCCAGGGAGCTCCACCCATGGCCCCAGGGGGTGCGTCCTCGTGACGTCCCCGCGCCCATTGCGGCACACCCCTCACACGTTTCCTAGCCTCCAGGGAGCTCCTCCTATGGTCCCAGCGGGTGCGTTCACATTGCGTCCCTGCGCGTTTTTCGGCACACCCCTCAAACGTTTCCTGCTCCCCCGGGAGCTCCACCTGGAGCCCCAGTGGGTGCGTCCGCATGGCGTCCCCGCGCCCGTTTCGACACACCTCTTAACATTTCGTACCCCCCAGGGAGCTCCACCCATGGCCCCAGGGGGTGCGTCCTATGGCGTCCCCGCGCCCATACCGGCACACCCCTCACACGTTTCCTACCCCCCAGGGAGCTCCGCCTACGCTGCGCGCTTTTCGGCACAGCCCTCAAACGTTTCCTGCTCCCCCGGGAGCTCCACCTGGAGCCCCAGTGGGTGCGTCCGCATGGCGTCCCCGCGCCCGTTTTCGACACACCCCTCACACGTTTCCTGCCCCCTAGGGAGCTCCACCTGGGGCCCCAGTAGGTGCATGCGTCCGCATCACGTCCCCGCGCCCATGTCGGGACACCTCTCACACGTTTCCTGCCCCCTAGGGAGCTACCCCTGGGGCCCCAGTGGGTGCGTGTGCATGGCGTCCCCGCGCCCGTCTCGACACACCTCTTAAACCTTTCGTGCCCCCCAGGGAGCTCCATCCATGGCCCCAGGGGCCCCCGCGCGCACATCGGCACACCCCTCGCACGATTCCTGCCCCCCAGGGAGCGCCGCCCATGGCCCCAGTGGGTGCGTCCGCATGGCGTTTCTGAGAACGCGTGGCGCGATTGCAGCGCATCAGGGGATGTTTGACGTTTTTGGCGAACGCTCATGGGCACCGCAGGCCCCTCGGAAGTATTCTTGTGTATCGAGTGGTCCCGCTCAGAACGGTCCCTTTTTGAGAGTGGGTTGGACTCTCCGCCAAGCCAGCTGCCAACTGCTGGCCTCCGGGTGGGACGGTCTCGCAGATGGGAGGCCACCGGGGTGGCGGGAGCGGGGGCGAGAGCACTGGTGCTGAGCGAAAAGCGAGGAAGTCATCGAGCGGGAGCGTCGTTGTTGGGGGGGCGGCTTCGGCGGCGTCCGAAACGCCCGATAGCGAGCCTCGTCTTCAAAGGAAGTGCAGCCGGTGCCGAGGCGAGATCGCCAGGGCGCACTGAGGGGGCCCTACACTCATCACTACTCGATATGACTGACGCTCAAACACAAAACGATGCTGTCCCCTCCTCCCCCCCCCTCTCGCCTCCCTCCCCCCTCCCTCCCGTGCCTGTCGTGTGTACAGTGGGGGCCGCTCCAAAGAAACTGTAAACCCAACCCTGAGACCCCAGGACGTCCACTGGTTTTTGGTCTGGGAACGTCGCGCCCTCCGTCGCAAAACCAGCGAAACCCAAGAAACCCAGGGCACCCCGGAGACAAGCAGGGCAGGAAAGCCCGGACTCGGATCGACAAGTCGCATCGGCGATCGACATGAGCCCTGGCATTAAGTCGGGCGTGTCCCCCTACAGGGGGATTTTCGACGAAAAATAAAAAAATACCCCCAAAATAGACAACAACAAAAAATCCAAAAATAGTCTGGGGACGATGTTTCGAGTATTGTTTGGCCCTCTTGGCGCATTGTTGAGGTATGTTTTATTTTTCGTCGAAACTCCCCCTGTAGGGGACACGCCCGACATAACCCTGGCAGGGTGCTTCTTGGCATGGGCCTCCACTGCCTGTCTCGCCATCGCTCGGACGTCCATTCCCTGTGTGTTTGTTTCGGTTTCGTGCGTAATTTTCTATCGCCCAATGATCAAGAATGCTCCAACAACACACACCCATACCCATAGGGGGATCGGAGAGGGCTATGGGTGCGTGTTGTCGGATGGGGGTCCCCGCTCGAACGGGAGCGTTCCCCAGGGTCCGACAACCCGCACCCATACCCATAGCCAGTCCTCCGCCAACGACCTCCCTATGGGTATGGGTGTGTGTGTTGTTCGTTCGTCAAGCAAGGATGCTCCTCGATGGCCCTCGCCGAAGGAAAACTGCACACGTCCGAGCAACGCCAAGCTGAGCACCGCTTGCGGGGCACCCCGGTCCGCAGGCGCCGGAGCGGGCCTCGGGGCCCGCCCGCGGGCACGTGCTCGGGGGGCGGCCCTCGGCGGCCCCTCCCGGGTCCGGCCTTCGAGGGCGCGCGAGAGGTGGCTCGGTGGGCCTGCTTTCCGCCGCCACCACCAGGAGCAGAAGGGGCAGGGGGGCCTCCTCCTCTTCTTGTTCCTCTTCTTCCTCCGCCTCCGTCCCCCCTCCGACTTGCGGTGGTGGTGGTGGTGGAAAACAGGCCCCTCATGGCTGGGTCGGTGCTGGAGTGCCAGCGTCGGGCTCAGCTCTGAGAAGCCGATGCTCCCTCTGCAAAGTTTAGCGACGACGCGGGGTTCAAGACAGCGATGCTGAGAAAGCAGGTCAGCATCGGCGGCAGAGAGCATTCAGATTGGGCTCCGCTTCGGCGTCGAAGTCAAATCTCCGCTAGAGGCCTCGGCTGCACTGGCAAAAAGAGAAGAGCAGCGAGACGCAACGATGTCCGTGCCATACTGTACCGCTTGATAAGAAGTGGCCATTGATCAAGCAATGCGAAGTGCAGTGAACGACGAAATCCTCTGGGAACGCTGACGGGCAGCCGCATAGCCAAGGACTTGAGACATGGACGAAGCTGCATGCGGGAGCATCCACGAGCTACAGAAGAATCGCAAGCAAAAGAGAGCCTACTGCATGAATCGAGCGGGCATGCGCACTGTGGAATGAGGAATGAGCGTTCTCTGTGCGCCTGAGACATTCAATAGAAGAAACAAACACTGCAAAAAACCTAAACTTTCGGTGCTCCGCGCGGATGCCTTGGATCGGCGCTGGACCCCCCTGGCGAAGCTTCCGGCGCCCCCCCTGGCGAGCTCCGCGCGCCAAGGCGCGGGGGTCTGCCGCCAATCAAGAAGTCCGCGCGGACCTCCGAAAGTGACTGCTTGATCATGCTGCGCAGCTCCTCTCGAGAGAAGCTGTCGAAAACGAGGCCGAACCCTCGAGCCTCTCCCGGCCAGCATCCCGCCCGCCCTGCTCGGCTCGACTACGGATACGCAGCGACACCTTCTTGCCCCCGAGGGAGCTGCGAGGCCTCCAATGGATCTGCGCTGCCCTGCACTCCGCCGTGCCCCCCAGGAGCCCACAAAGATGGCGACAGTTGCGCAGCTCGCAGCTCTCGAGTGGAAAAGATACGAGGAAGGGAGGCAAGGAGGTAGGAGGAGGAGGAGGAGGAGGAGGAGGAGGAGGAGGAGGAGGAGGAGGAGGAGGAGGAGAGGGAGGTAAGAGGCGAGCAGGAGGGGGCGGAGGCGGAGGAGGAGAAAGACGCGCGAGCAATGAGAGAACCCAACACAGGAGGGTTGAAAACAAACGATCTCCAACACTGAAGTACCATACCTTTGGTGCACGAGGCCGCCCGCGCAGTCCTCGTGGCGACGACTCTCCACGCCCTGGGCCTCCTCCCGCCCTCCCATCATCCGCGGCCGCCCTCCTCTTCCCCTGAGCGTCTGTGTGCGCCCGTAGCTTCAGGTCGGGCATGTCCTCCTACAGGCGGATTTTCGAGGATATCTAAAAAATCCGATCTGGCGTGGACTCGAGCGCGCTCGAGCTTCGCTCTGCAAGGGGGCGGGGGACGCCATTGCCAACGCATTTAGTGCTCGGAGGCGGGGGGGGGCCACAGGCCCCCAAGAAGCGCCCAGGAGGCTCCTGAAGAGGGGAGGGGGGGGGCGCCATTCCCGACGCATTCAATGCTCAGGGGCGGGAGCCCACAGGACCCCAAGAAGCCCCCAGGAGGCCCCGGAAGGCGCGAAAGAGGCCCCCAAAGGCTACAAAACGACCCCCGAGAGGCTTCCTCAGGTCCCGTGCTCAACCCCCTGAGCCTCAGTCCTAGCCTCAGTCCTCAAGCCTGAGGATTCTAAATGGGCCCGGACCCTAAGCTCTCAAATCTCTTGAGGCTCCCCGCGCGCCGCCTGGGGCCCCCAGAATGTTCCCGCCTGACTATTTCGAGCCCAAGGGAGGCCCAAGACGGGCCAACAGGGACCCAAGAGACCCTCAAGACGGCCCAAGAAAGCCCCGAATCACCGAACGATCGGTCCAAGACGCCCAAGATGGCCCCATGGCCAGCACCATAATAAATATCATCATCATCATCATCATCATCATCATCATCATCATCATCATCATCATCATCATCATCATCATCATCATCATCATCATCATCATCATCAGCATCAGCATCATCATCATCATCATCATCATCATCCTCATCATCCTCATCCTCATCCACATCCACATCCACATCCTCATCCTCATCCTCATCCTCATCCCCATCCTCATCCTCATCCTCATCATCATCATCATCATCATCATACGCATCAGCATCATCATCCATCCCATCCATCATCTCATCATCATCATCATCATCATCTGCCTCATCCTCATCCTCTCCTCATCCACAATCCACATCCATCATCATCCTCATCCTCATCCTCCATCCTCAGCCTCATCCGCATCCTCATCATCATCATCATCATCAATCATCATCATCATCACCATCCGTCCTCATCCTCATCATTCCTCATCCTCATCCTCATCCTCATCCTCATCCCCTCCTGCATCCTCATCCTCATCAGCAGCAGCAATCACATCAACATCATCATCAGCAGCAGCAGCAGCCGATCGTCATCGTCATCGTCATCGTCATCGTCATCATCATCATCATCATCCTCATCCTCATCCTCATCCTCATCCTCATCCTCATCCTCAGCCTCATCCTCATCCTCATCCTCATCCTCATCCTCATCCTCATCCTCATCCTCATCATCATCATCATCATCATCATCATCATCATCATCATCATCATCATCATCATCATCATCATCATCATCATCATCATCATCATCATCATCATCATCATCATCATCATCCGGAGCGCCTTGGATCGGCGGCACTGGCCAGAGGCCAGCACAATATAAAAAAACAACAACAAAAACTCCCCATACTATGTGTTGCCTATTGTTGCACACTCCTCCTGTAGAGGGGCACGCTCGACTGAACCGTAGCTCCGCCGCGGCCCGCGGGCTACCCCGGCGCGCTGTGGGCTCGCCCTCGCCGCCGACCACTAGGGCGTGGCGACGCCGAGGCGACCCTCAGAGAGCAGGCAGGCGCGCCGAAGAGAGGAGGCGGGGGGCTTGGGGGGAGGATAATGAGGACGGGGAGACAAAAAGGTGCCGATACCGCTACCCCCTGGGTCTCTCCAGGGGTGCGTTCTGGAAAGAAGTTCGAGGCGATCCAGCGGTGGCGACGAGGGCATCCCAGGAGGCCCCAAAAGCGAGAGACAGGGGGAAGGTAGCGGTGTGGCTACTTATCCTCATCTGAGAGGAGGGAGCAGGAGTGTCGAGGAGGGAGGAGGAGGAGGAGGAGAGAGGAGGAGGATTGAGGAGGAGGAGGAGGAGGCAGGAGGAGGCAGGAGGAGGAGGGTGGAGGGAGGAGGGAGTAGGAGGAAGGAGGAGAGGCGAGAGGGAGGAGGGTTGAGGAGGGTTGAGGAGGATCGAGGAGGGAGGGAGGAGGAGGGTTTGAGGAGGGCTGAGGGTGGAGGGAGCAGGGAGGGAAGGAGGAGGGTTGGGGAGGGAGGAGGAGGAGGAGGGAGGAGGGTAGAGGAGGAGGGCGGAGGAGGAGGGTGGAGGAGGGAGGAGGCGGCGGCACCAAGGCGCGCGTGCGCCGCGCGAGCAGGGGCGCGGGCGGGCCTTTCTCTTGCGGTGGGTCTGCCTCATCGCCTCTCGGGCGCCAGCGCCGCGCAGCGGGCGCGCCGCCCTCGCCGCGCGCAAGGTGCGCCCTCCCCCCCCCCGCGGCAGCCACCACCTCGGCACTGCCCGAGCGCCCGGGGCACGGCCGGGGCCTTTGGCCGGTGGCTGCGCGCGGCAGGGCCTCGGCAAGAAGGCCCCAGCCGCAACTCCCCGTGCTCCCCTTCCTCTGCTGCGCCCTCCCTGCTTCCGCTCGCCTCGCCCGCCTCTCGGCCTCCCCCGTAAGCTCGCCCCCCCCCCACCACCTCTGCCTCAGACTCCTCCTCGGACTTTCCTTAGACTCCTCCTCCTCTTCCTGCTCCTGCTCCTCCTCTTCCTCCTCCTCCTCCTCCTCCTCCTCCTTCTCCTCCTCCTCCTCATCATCAGCAGCAGCAGCAGTAGCAGCATACTCATCATCACCACCACCTCCATTACCATCATCATCATCATCATCATCATCATCATCATCATCATCATCATCATCATCATCATCATCATCATCATCATCATCATCATCCTCATCCTCATCCTCATCCTCATCCTCATCCTCATC